AATTTTTTTTTCCCCCCCCCCCCTGCCCCTCCACGTGACTCCGAAGGACGAGATTGATCTGACACATCGCGTGGACAAAGGTTAATTAGCCCGAACGGTGGCAAGATCGATAAAATCGCGTCTGACAGAGACCGATCACAGAGGGACTTCCTAATAGAAGCTGGAACCCCCGGCACCAACCTCTATATAATTAATCTTCGCCTGGAGCGTGTACGATTGGCCCCAAAGGAAACAGGCAACGCGTGAAAAATACGACGGGATCCTCCTACCTGAGAATTCTCCAGGCTCTCACGCCTCTGGGAAAAATCGTTTCTTGTTGCTCGAGGCGAGTTCGATAGCCAACCCCCACCCTCCACGTGGAATTTCTTGCTCCAGATGCTCGGATGAATAATGAATTCTTCGCCTTCGTGATTTAATGCGAGAATTTTCACCGGGGGTGATTAGGGCTCTGGTTGGTTTATGACGGTGTAAGCGTATTTTAGGGCTGTTGGTTGCAGCGATGCTTAGAATTTTTTCATCGACAGCGGTGTTTTGGAAATTTTTCTGCTATCTTGTAGCACCTACCATTGGCGGTGTGTTACTTGCGAAAAGGTTAAGAATAGTGGTTCGAGGGTGTTGTTTGGTGGCCTTGAGCGTGATCTCGAGTTTGACGATGAATGTTTCGATTGGAAGCGGTGATTTTGGATTTTTTGACCTATCGACAGGCACCGACACTCGCAGAAATGATAAGAATGTGTATTTAACTAGAGAAATTTTAATTCGGTACAAATGTACCGACACCATCGACGTCTTCCCAATTTTCAAAAATAAACGTTATCCCATTTAAACTACAACCTAGTCCAATTTCTAACCGATTATTACACCAACTGATATTAAAAAAAAGACAATGAATTTAAGAGCATTTTGCGACTACCTTTATTCAACATAAGTTCTATTCAAAATGGAGTCTCGTAATTATCCCTAAATAAATTTCATTTCGCCCAGACAATAACCAGACGATCCCTCCTGATCCTCTGCATCCATCCGACAACGGAGAACAAATAAAAGCGAAACGGAGGAAGCGCCATTCAAGACGCCCTAACCCTGACAGGCCAATTATAAATGGGGGGATCACCACTCGGCCATTCAACGTGTCGTTCGCGCGGAGCACGTGTACGCCCGTTTTATGGGGGGCAATAATTCACAATTACGTCATCGTGTCGAGTTATTTTTATGCGGCACACGCCGCCACACTGCTTCTTCCTCCAATTCATTTTTCTCTCTCTTCACTCCTCCCTCTCCTCAATCCCCCAAGCCAGAGTATGTTCCTTTTTTCCCTCTGAGAATCTCAAGCAAAGGGAAATCTCTTTTGTCGAAATTTCTCAGTTTTTTTTTTCTCTCGTTTTTATTGCCGGGGAATATTCTCGCGTGCCTGGTTTTCCTGAAGGAAAATCTTTAAAGCCAGAAGAGAAAATTTTCGTAATTTCTGACGAAATATGAGGATGGATTTACGAAGTGGTTAGTTGCTTTTTTCTTTGTTACTTCGGGGCACGTGACACGAGGAAATCTTCGAAGAAAAAGTTGGAGTAATTTTTCATATTCGTGGTTTTCGTTTGTACGAAAAATATTCCAAGTTTGTCGATACGGAGTGTTTTGCAAAAGTAAACGAATTCGTTTAATGGCTGATATTTCTTCCGTCGTAATATTTTCCAACGATATTTTGCGTGGACTTTATCCAGCTTCGTTGGAAGGCCACCAAATCCGCGGTTTTGCGAATTCTGAGCCGCCATCACGGCGACAGTTTCTATGCCAACGCGATTTCCGCGAGTTTCTTTCACAGTTTTCACCGAATTTATCGTTTTACAACATGGCCGTACGTTAAGATCACCGTGAAAAGCTTGGACGTTACAATCCTGGTGAAATCTTGGGGGAGGGGGGTGCGATGCCAGAATGCCCTCGTTTCCGGTTGAAATTTCTGTCTTCTCTGCTGGCAACCAGCGAATCCTTTATTTCCACTGCTTTTAAAACGTCTGCCATCGATCATACCTTAAGGTTGGCAACACCGAGCGGAGAAACACATTATCCTGGACGATTTTAGACATTCGTGCGATTCAAAAATGATTTAAGAACGTTTGGATCTTCCTAAAGTGACCAATTAGTCATGCTTATAGCATTCTTCGAGAGAAAAGCGGAAAAGATTGGAAGACGATTTGATTCATTTGGTCATCTAGGGAATTTAGGGAATTGGCTACAATGGGAGGCAACACTGAACGTGTAAACGTTCTTACGCTTAACAACTTTGTCGGAGAAAGATAATTTGAGCGAGTAATTCTTTTAAACTGGACATTTACTCATGGTTGCAGTATTTTTCAGAAAAAGAAATTGAAAATAGAGAAAAAATTTGGTAAATTCAAGCATCTGGGAAATTTAGAAGTTTCCATTTGACAATTATTCTACTTTTGTACAGTATGCATGAAAAGGTCCAGGGCTCAGATTGCAAAAGACATTTTGTTTTTTGAATTTTAAACACTTTTGTGTGACTGAATAGTGTTGCCAGTTTATTGAAGTATCACGCTTTCCTTTTACCGTTTTCCATTCCACCACAATCAACTATTAAACTTCGAGACACGTACTGCGTAATATTTTCCAAACGAGAACAGAAAAATTAGAAAAGTAATGCTACTTGTTCAATTTTTATATCAAAGGTAAAATAAAATAGCGAAGGAAATGGAGAAATCAGTGGAAGATTTGGTACGTCTAGGGAATCTAATAAATCAGACAAAATGACTGACTAGATTTGTTCCATGGCCTATTCCCCTCTTTCGGACAAGTAATCAGCCATTAAGGGGCACGTTTAGGGCAGTCATAAAGTGACTTACAAGCCTCGAACACGAAACCTGAATATTTAGTGCGTTACAATGTACAATGACAGCATGGTAACGAACAGCCCTGCCAACCACTAAATATCAGAGAAAACAACCTTTAAACACGAAAAGGTGTGTGCACGCGTGTATTAGGGACCTTTGATCACGTTACTCGTGTTTGAGTAACAAGATAATTGGACGCTTATATAGCTGTCTTACGATGCAACATGTACTAAAATTGTCAACTGATAAGGAAATTTTCTAAATAATAGCACTTTGAGCCGATAATGGACCATTTGAATTGCAGCTCAGTTGACTTTAACACAACCTCTGAGATTGCAAATCTAACTTATAAGAAAACATTTAATCGCTAAAAAAAATTATATTTCACCTCTAAAGTTTGGAAATATGTCAAAAACTTGGACAATTTTATAATTGCGGATAGAATAAACCTGAGAGGTGGCTATTTTCGTTCACTAATGGAGAATCCGAATTTCATTCACTTTGATGCAATGCGCAATATTGAAATTCTAAAACTCTCTATAATTTTTCCAATTTCCTAAATGGAAAGTTGTATGTGTATTACTTGCATAACCTCACTGGGAAAAATTGCAATAATATATTCATTCTAAGTGTACAATTTTTTTTAAGGTTAGAAACACATGTCCAAATAAGGAAACAGTAGAAAATGGTGGAACTACTTGGGCGATTTTCGCTGAAAAGTATTCACGTCACAAGTGCAAGAACGAAACCTAAT